GGTGGCCGCACCATGGGACTCGTCCGGCCCACGGAGATCTCTGCTATCTTCATGACGATGCACAGCAGCAACACTAACATCATTCGTCGACGATGGACGAGTACGTCAAATTCGCCCTCCCGCCCGTATACGTCCGCTAGATCATAATATAGCGTTTCCGTCCGTGCGCGCAATTTTCATTCCGACTATTGTGAGTCACTAATCCTCCTTGTGAATCGTCCAAATGTTACGATATATATATGTCATATGATATCCCGATAACGCGAGCGATAATCGTTGCACAATGATACTCTGGTCTATATGACAGCGATGAGCACGCAAAGTGAGTCTTCCTTCTTATTTTTAATTCTAGACACACTCTGTCGTTTCTTTAAGCCTCTCTTCCTTCAGTTCCTTCGTCAAATCTGATCCGAACGAACAGTCACATCGGAACCCGAGATAGATGATCGACATCCTCGACATTGAACGCGAAAAGAGACGCACATCGAAATAATTCCATCATCTGGAACACGCTATAGTATCCTAATCGTTGCGATCCGTTTATTACAAAATCTATGAATATATATGTATGTATAAATCGTAAATTATGAAACCGTTAATGGTTGAACGTTTAGATGATATTTCTATATTGCACGATTGTCGACATAACGTCAATGCTCTCCGATTACCCCATTTGAAAAATGATGACAAAGATTTATTTAATTTTTTCTTTAATTTCAATGTAATATGAAAAAAACCGCGTGTAAAAGGTACATACGTTAGGTCTGGAACATTGTACAAAATTCCGTTTCGCAGTTGGCAATTTCAAATCTAACCGTTATCAAGATTGAGCGAGATTACACACATATGCACTCAGGCTCGAACGGGAAGTTCCAGTTATACTAATCGATCAGTAGTTGCAAACGACCTAGCGATGAGTTTTGATACGTTCAACCGTACATTTGCTTCAGCAATTGGAAATTTCTGACACATATTATATAAAGATCCGCTCGATCGCAAACAACACGATACGATCCTCTAAAAGAAACTGCCTAATTTATTTTGGAAACGTTTTCCAACTGCTTTAAGCCTTCTTTAGGCATTTCGTGAAAGAATAGTAGCCATCGTACCAAATAAGAAACGAGATAAAATGAACAACGCACCACACGCACACGCCCGATCGCTCGCCGCGAAACGTCATTCGCGCGCCGCGCACAAAGAGATTCGCTCTCTTTCGATTGTTTCAACACCCTACTTGCTCATATCCTGCAGTCGATCGACGTAATTAAGCGCAATTTGAAAAAGTCTCGAACGATTCGAATCGATGCGCGGCGCGCGCCGGTGAAATCAGAATTCAGAATTACGAAATCGCACTCTCCTTCGTCGGCGATCCGAGCGAGCGATCGATCACTTTTTCACCGCGACGCCGAGATTGCCGAGATTGCCGCGATTGCCGCGCGATCGCGATCGGCCAGGATGATTTTATCCGCGATGGGTCCAGAGACCTGATTCGAGTCAGACTGCTCTCTAGCGAGTCGGCGGGTCCCGCCGTCTCGCGAGTTGCGGGAGGGCGTTTGCAGTGTTTGCACACGGCACCACACGACGCCGGACTCTAATCTCTATTAATAAATGCTCGCACCGCCTCTCGTTTACTCGTATGCTCGTATCGTTCCTACGAATCCTACGGCGGGGCAGAGTGAGCGAAAGCGAGAACGAGAAACGGAGAGAAAAGGAAGAAAGAGCCGAGATGCAGAGTATTGCAGAGAGAACGATCCTAGCTGCCGAGGGCTCTCCGAGGGCTCGGCCTCGTGCAAGCGCGACGATCATCGTCATCATTTGCGACTTTCTGCCACGTCGCGTCGTACGAATTGCGCCGATTGCGATTAACATCTGCTCGAAAAATTCCATCATGCGCCAAGCACGTAAATGTACAATCAGAAACTGCAACGAAGACTATTCAAGAGTCATATCACGGGAATCGAAATCGTCGTAGCTTATACTTTGTAGCGCGAGAGACGACTAGAGAGAGAAAGAGAGAGAGAGAGAGAGCTTAGGCTTATGCACTTCATCAAAAATTGTCATAAAAAATTATCGGTACTGCCGCGATGTTTTTAGCGAAACTACGCGACTTTTAATCTCCAATCTATCATATTCTCAATCTTATACGAACGACTGTTGCACGCGACATCGCGTTCAACGTGTACCCCGGCCGGGTTTCTACGGGAAGGAAAAGCATATAATTTCACGCGATTTACATTCAAAAGCAGCTCATTCGTCTTCGGTATCGAGGAAGCGATTAAAATTTTCGTTCTACTCGATCCGTGTTCCGTCAGTGTCTAAGTATCGACAGTATCGCAATTTTGAAGACGTACATACAGCATTAACGTTGCTAAATATAAAGGCGATACATAGGAAAATTTGAATCTTTTTACAGATACTTTTCACAGATTTTATGGATTTACGTTACAATATTTACAACTTTTTAGCAAATTTAAAACCTCTTTTTAGTAGAAATGCGTGCTTCATTCAAATCCGGTTAAAAAAATCACCGTGTAAGCGCGGTTATAATTAAATTATTTAATATAATATAATATATGTATGTAACTGAGAAAAAAAAGTTGCTGTTTCAAGAAAATATTAGTTGATTCAACTAAATGTAGCGGTCACGGACTGTCAAGAAAATATTTGTTGATTCAATTAAATATTTGTTAATTCAAACAAATAATATGTTTTAAATTACAAGATTTTGTTAATCTAAATATATAAATATTTGAACTAAATAATCATTACGAACTAAACGCATTTAGTCAAGTTAACAACTTTTTTTTTTCTCAGTGTATGCATGTATAATATCGATAATTTGCAAAATCGATGATTTGGCGCATCAACAGCTTCTTTTTTTTTAAATAATAAATATTAATTGATAAGGCTCTCCAGAAATGATCTAACAAATAAGTATTAAGTGCCTATCAGAGCCGACACAGAATAGAATGTGTAAAAAAAATTTTTTTCTTATCACTTTATTGATTAACAATAAAAATATATAAAGTTATGCTAGTTGTTAAGGCAAACGTTTCGGCCCTTGCTTTGGGTCCTCTTCAGTGCCGATCAAAAATGAATTACATTGAAAATTGAAATATTGTATACATTACAAATTTGCACCGACTTCGTCCAGTGACAAAAATTTGGTAGAATTTCTATAGGTAAAATGGAAACAAACAAAAACAAAGTTACGATCAGAGGTTTTAAGAAAAAGGCACGCAGATTCGAACATTAATTGGACTTACATGTCGCAGGTTAATAAATTATTTCCTATCTTCTTCCAAGTGAATCAGGGTGACGTGTGTCTCAAAAAGAACCGCCACTGATTGACGGAACACTGCACCAATAAATTAATCACCAAATACAGAGACAAATTGATAATGAAATAAAAATAAAAATTCTAATAAATTATGTGAGAATAAACTGCTTACGTGAGGAAAATCTTTCGAGACAAACTCAACCGTTCGGAGAGTCGGTTGGTAATGAGACCTATTTCAGTCAAACAGAAAAACAATATCTCTCCAAAACACACGTCAACCAATGACAACGTTGTGCTTATATGTACGAAGGTAAATTTGAACGCTTCAAATCTGATCAAAAGTAAGACGAAACCTCGTAACAAGTATAATAATTAAAAACTATCACGAGGACGATATTAAAAGGTATTATAAGATAAATAAAAATACTAATTAATAAGTAATAAAAAAGTAAAAAACATAGGGAAAAAGAAAAGAGAAAAACGAAAAAAGAAAAAGGAGAAAGAAGAAAAAAAAACAGAGAAAAATTTTTTTTTTGTTATTATTTAAAAATATGTCTTAATAAAATTTTTTGTTATTATTTAAAAATATGTCTTAATAGTCAAGTTTGTAATGTCAATGACATAAAACAGTAAGATTAAAAATTAAATTAGAATAATATCTGTGTCAGATATAAAAATTTTTTTTTACACATTCTATTCTGTGTCGGCTCTGATAGGCACTTAATACTTATTTGTAGATTCTTTTTTTTTATCGTCACGCGAGAAATCCATTGACATTTGCTGATAAATAAGAGTGCCTGACTTACCAATCCGATTTCCGTCACACAGCTGACGATAATAACGCCTGAAAATGTCACTTATATTTATCTCACGTTCGCTGCAAGTAAACTTTAATTTACTTTAAATATATATACATTATAAAATTATTTGAATTTTAGATTAATTGAGATAACGGTTTATCCACACTTTAATCATTCAGTTTTGGTTAGTTTATTCGCTATTGATTAGTTCATCGAATAAACTGACAAAAACATCAACTTAGTGAATATAAGTACGTTGTGAAAAGAAGCGCAAACCTGTTTGCAAAAAGCCTGATTGAGAGGATTCAAACCGTAGGTTGTTGGAAACGATGATCGTGTTTAGATAACTTATTGGTTCAACGGTAATCGGTGTACAAAGTATTTTACGTCACAAGCTGCCATAATTCCATCCGGTACGTTAACCGCATGAATGACGTTAATGATGACGCTGCAAGTAAAGAACAATAGAACGCAGTGATTGAAGGTGCTAACGACAAGATAAGGACGTGCATCTCTCGTTCGCCTTACTTGAGTGCAGCAGCCCGATCACGTAAAAATTTTAATAAAATTACGACATTACGCGCAATATCGCAAACTGCTCCTATCTGTAACACGTGGTTTTATTAACACGGTAAATTATGCTTTTCCCTCTTACAGATATTTAAAAGGTCCGAAACACAACGCGCATGTATTCACAAATCACAATCGACAAATCTCCGCCAACAGCACTGATCAAATTTAATCTCACTCTTCTCAGAATCTAAAGAAATCGATATGAATGCTTTTTATATTGTAAAATAATTTAGTTGTTAAAAGTGTGGCTTTTACTACGTCGAAGCCTTTGCCGCAGATGGTCGATAGCTGGCCGTTGCTTGGAAGTGACGATGAAACGCGATTTTATTTCTCTCTCGATGCATATTTATTAATTGAAACACTCCGCGGGACATATATTTTTGGATCAGCTTTTAAATATTGGATCTCGGTTTTGAAATGCTCTGGACTAATTGAACACAATGGACATTATTATCTGTTTCTTGTAACATTGCATAAGAAAATCCGGCGAATACGAATTGATTGAGATTGAAATCTTCAAAAGCAAAAATTGAGTTTTATCAAATCGATTTATTTTTTAGAGAAAGTGACATTTAGGAAAAGCATATCTTTCTATGAGATGACGGAGACATTCGACGAAATATAAGAGAACTTGTTATAATTTGGAGCAGAAATTTAAAAACATATAAAACATAATTTTGTAATTACAAAAATTTAAAAAAAAAGAAAGAACGTTTGAAAATTGGCAGAAGTGGTAAAATA